TGTCCAGCACGGCGCCAATGTAGCGGCCATCGGTGAAGCTGATGAGAGCAGGTCCATCCCAGGGCTCCATCACACAGGCGGCCCACTGATAGAAGTCGCGCTTCTCCTGCGGCATCGTCTTGTCGTTCTGCCACGCCTCTGGCACCATGGTCATCACGGACTCTGGCAGCGACCTCTCGCTGGCCATCGTAATGAACTCCAGGACACAGTCAAAGGAGCCCGAGTCCGAGAGATTGGGCTCCACCACAGGATAGAGTTTCTTCAGCTGTTCCCCGAACGCCTCCGACTCCATCACACCCTCGCGGGCCTTCATGAGGTTCACGTTGCCGCGCAGCGTGTTTATCTCCCCATTGTGGGCGAGCACCCTCAGCGGATGGGCACGCTCCCAGCTGGGGAAGGTGTTGGTGGAGAAGCGCGTGTGCACCAGCGCCAGATAGGTCTCAAACTCTGGATCCTTGAGGTCCGTGTAGTAGTCCCACAATTGATCCGAGGTAAACAGACCCTTGTACACCACCGTGCGATCCGACAGCGAGCAAATGTAGAAGCGTCTGCCCTGCTTGGCAAGCTCATGGCTGGCCCGCTTCCTCAGGACAAACACCTTGCGCTGGAAGTCCTTCTCCTCACTGCCCTCGGGACGACGAACGAAAACCTGCCGCGACAGTGGCTCCGATTTGCGTGCCACCACGCCAATGGCCTGCTGATTAGCCGGTACAGTGCGCCAGGCAATCACCGCCAGACCCAGGCTCTGGGCCAGATCATTAAACTCCTTTTCGGCAGCCGCATGCTGGGCCTCGTCCAAGTAGAAAATGCCAGTGGCATAGTCACCAAGATCGGGCAGCGTTTTGCCATCTTTGGCCCTGAAAATGGCAAGAGGAAAATGTGTTCGTAATTGGGGAAGGAAATCATTTTGATTGCGGTGTCGCTTCATGTGTAATGCGCCATAAAAGTGCATCCCAGCGTCAGATTTCCATTTCGTGTAATTGAATCTGAGGCGTTTCATTCATTGCGCCATTCTACCTCATATGACAAACCGATGCCATCCATTGAGTGCAGTTTCGAGTGACGAAGATCATCTCGCATCACAGCTGTCAGTTAGTTAGTTAGTCAGTCAGTCGGTCGGTGCGTCTGGCAGTCCCCCTGTTCAGTTCACCTGTTTGTCATTCAGAAACGTGCATTCCATAGACTTAAAGATCGCCTATAGACGACGGGGCTTCCATTCGATCTCGTTCTTATTACGTCGCAGCATTCAGTGAAGCAGCCAGCAGCGCCCCTTCATTGGGGGGAGGGAGAGAGCATTTAGCAGCAGCCGCGTGCCTCTCCATTGGGGGGCGAGGGAGAATGCCTCTTATAATTTCACAATTAGTCTGCGACTTAAAGCGTTCCTTGAACTTGAAATTCAACCCAAATCTCATATCACTTAACACGCGCCCGTCTAGAGGGAATTGCGTGCCACGACACCCCAACACCCCTCTCAGAACACCATCGAATGATCGCTAATTAAACTAGATTTATGACATGACGTGCGACATTACGCCATTTAATCGACTGGACACATGTGCATATAATCTATATATGTATTTCGACAGATGTAGCACTAATTCTATGGCAAATAGTCGCGAATTTATTCGATTGATTACATTTCGCACATTTCGCGTTGTAAATCGTTTGAGCAGTCATATTTATTAGGAGGGGTTATGGAGCGACTCAATTTACCACAGCAAACAATTAGATACAGTTTTATAAGGTTATATATAACTTTTAAGTTAAAGTTTTTAACTTATATATTAACTTTTAATGCCATTACCTATAAAATGATCTGCTTAAATTCACAAATTGTTCTTCCATTTAAAAGCAGAACAGAACCCAGGCCCCCTTGCTCTCTTTCTCTCTCATTACTATGCACAACATCTCCCCCCACTTGGGAATAATTTAGCAGTTCGGCGGGGGCCTCGTTGTACTTTTCCATCGTTTGCCTCCAAAATAATATAATAAAATATAATACTTTAATGGAATAAATTGGCCTCTAGATTCCCTATCCCCTGCCTCAACTGTAGTTACTCCCCAAAGTACATTCTATCCAAAATATAACGGATATATACATCTATGTATATGCTAGGTTTATATACCGACAAACATATAGATGCCGGATTCTGGGCAATGCGTGACGAAAACACAAACCGTGCCAAAAATGCTGACAAAATAAACAGAAATCAGAAAACAGAAAACAGAATGTACATCGGATGAGAGAGAGCAAAGAGCAAATGTTGGATAGCTGTACATACATACGTACATATATTGTGTATACATATGTATATCTCATACATGACCATGGTTGGGTCTCGGTCTCTGTTTTGTGAGGGTCTATGAGGGGATGGGGATGTGCTTCATTTCAGCAAACTATTTTTGACGTGCTCGACTGCCGCCGACTGATGCTATCAGTCGGTTACAGTACTTTTGAAAGCCAATGTACCCGTAAATAAATGGATATGCTCGAGGGAAAGCCTAAGGGGAAACTTGTATGCACTTCATTGCACTTCTATTCAGTAGCTGAATCGCATAAAACTATCATGTGTTGATTCTTTTATAAGCCTCCAATGAATGGTTTCATTCTTTCGGTAGAATTACAATCTATGATCCCCATTTTACTACACATTACTATCTATAATCCTGCTTTAGGGGCAATAAAAATATATAAAAGTGCGCAATAAATGTAGAATAAAGACAAGTGCAGCTCAGGAATAAGTCTCAACAATGGAAAAATATAACCCTACGATAAGAAAACCTATTATTACTCATAGTAAAAGTGCACTTTCCCTTTACATCATGATAACTGCTACGCTCGCAATATGGAAGCTAATCCAACGGAAATTAACCCTTTTCTTAACATTCAGTAGGTCAGTTCGATGCACATACTATATACCCTTCTCTATAAAGAGTATTCCCAGTGACAGACAGCGACAAGTGACATGAGAGAGAGACAGAGTGAGCTTTGAGCTATTTTCGTATTTCGCGCACGAGATCGCAGCGATATCGTGTAAGGCATTCATCAATGGCAATCAGGCGGCGCCATAGAGGAACAGACCGGCATATACAATATAGAAATAATATTACGAGTATATGGAACTTACAAAGACTTGGCATAGAGTCCATGGGGAATGGAGGCCAAGACGCCAGCACCGTCGCCAGTGTCATTGTCGCAGGCGCAGGCCCCACGATGATTCATCCGTTCTGACAGGGTCTGGGCATCACGTAGAATCTGAGGATCGTAGAAAATCGGAGAACAATTAGAGATGGTGAATCCTGCTCCAGGGTGGGGGGGACAGCGACGGCTGCTAACCTTGTGAGAGCGTTTGCCATCGATGGCCACAATGAAGCCAACGCCGCAGGCCTCGTGCTCGTTCTGGGGATCGTAGAGTCCCTGTTTGCCAGGTGCCTCCCAGGGCATCTGCTCCTGCGGGACATCCTGCTGCTCCTCCTGCTCCTGGTCCTCCTCGCTCAAATGCAATTCATTCGATTGTTCGTTGATGCGCGACGCGTTAACGTTGTTGCCACTGCCACTACTGGCGGATGCGGCAACCGAGTTCTCGATGATGGTATCGATGGATGTTTCAACAGAGGATTCACATTCAAATTCGCAATTGTCAGTGGTTATTGGTGCCATTATACGATTATATACCCTTTGCACTTGCTAAAAATTGTCTCTTGTTTGTCGCTTGGCGTTTAATTTGTTTTCTTTTTTTGTGATTGTTTCGTGTTTACTTCACAGTTAGAGAACAAACAGTTATTTCTGTTTTTTATTTGGCTGTAAAAAAATAAGATAAAAACAATTTTTAATTGATATTTTCTTTTTCGACGCCGCCGCAGCCGCCGCTGCTGCTGTTGCACTTTTTGCACGTTTTACAGTTAGTTGCTTGGTCTCCCTTTTGCACTATTTTCACACACACACACATACAGATTCTTGTTCTGTTTTCGTATTCCTTTTTTTCTTGCCTCCAAGTTTTGTTGTAAGTTTTTTCTCGCGCAAGACGCTTTCTGGGGGGCACACGCGACACTGACGGCTGCTCACAAGCGAATGAAATGGGGAGCGAGCAGCAAAGCCCCAACGAACCCCCATCTCAGATCAGTGCAAGGCATGTTGCGCTGTAGGGTGCGGCCATTAACAGAAACCTCAGAACACAGCGAGAAGGAAAAAGTGCAAACTGAAGAGAGAGAACTACTCCCACACTTTTGATTCGGTGCAGATGAACTTGCTCTCCGCAAAGTCCGTTAATATGAGGTGTCGCATGTGTTCCAGAGTACACAGGTAGAGCGCAAAGCAAGAGAGAGTAGGAGAGCGGTGGTCCCCAGCAATGCCTCACCTCACATCAAACACACCCTGATCGCTCTCTCCCACGCCTGTTCTGGCTGTCCCGCTGCCCTACGAATTTAAAGCCTGATTCAATTTCCAATTGCTTTCATGTAATGCAATTTTTCTTATCACAAAAAAAATATTTATTTTCCACTAAAACACACTCTTCCTCTCGCCCTTTCTATCGCTCTATCTCTTCCTCTCTGAGAGGCTCTTCACCTGAAAAGCTTAGCTAAATTGCTTCCTAAATAGACAGTTCGACGATCCATGCGTCGAATCAATCTTTACAATTGATTGACAGATTGATTAAACAACCGATTGCCCCTCCAGAGGGGCGAGACCTTGAAATGCTCGACACTACGTAATGCGAAAAATCGTTCGATATTTACAGGAGCGTTTTATCGAACAAGGAACGAGAGGAGCGACTGACTGCCACAATCACTAAAATGTTATCAAATTGCAATTGTGGAATTACTTGTCATGTATTATTGTAGAAAATACATATCAAGTGGCGTCACAGAACGACGTTATAAACAAATTTCCCCGATCCATCGGTCGTATGCTTGAAAATGCGATTCACAATATGCACACGAGTATGACAACAATAAAAACAAATATTCAGTTGAGAAATAACAATTTCAAATATTCGAAATGAACAACAAAATTAATTCTGTTTTTCGAGAATATTTTCAAACGATACACAAAAACACAGCACCGGCACCAGAATCGTCTTTGTTTTAGGATTATAATTTTAGATAATTTTTGTTGTTGCACCTCGTATATTTTTTGTTAAACCAAAGATCTGCCATCCATAATTCACTGTCAGCCATTGTCGTCGCATATGGAAGAATTTTCTTTTATTGCATACATATCTATCTATGGGGTCCTTCAACTGTTGACCAGAAAAAATGCATTTCAAATGATGTATGCTTATATGTAAGTATATTTTTGGAATATACATCGATGCTCTGCGTTCATCTAGCGAGCTCTTCTCAAAATAGAATCTCCATTAGAAAGATAAAATCATTCTAGATTTCTGCCAAAATTTTCCATCAATTCTTCAGTTCTTTCTTTCTTTTCTTATTTTTTTCTTTGGCCTAATTATATTTTTGGTTGCAATCTTTCTGCAAATCTTTCTCCCATTTTATAGTTCGATTGCTTTAATTGGGAGAACATAAATTAATCAATCAGAAGGTGTGCGGTAGGCGATAAGCGGCCAAGTTCATGGGGCCTAACAGACGGGGACCGATACCGTGCCCATAGGAAATCACTTCCCCTCTCCTTATCAAAGACTTTCTATTGTGCTCCGCAGACGACGGCTACTACTAAGAATTACATACATATATGGTTCAAAGTCCCAGCAGGCGGAGCGTAGAGAGGCGATGGGAATGGAATCTATCAGGCGGTTGTTTGCGACGTCATGCCGCAATCTCAATCTTCGACGGTGACACATTCCTCCGCTAGCAGTATTCTCGCCCTGTAATCGGCTCAGAGAAAGAGGATAGAGTCCGGCTGTACCCAGCAGATAAAAGCCAAAAATTTGACAAGCTATAACACTTTCTACCTCTTAAAGATAACCTGTCAAAGCAGGCGGTTTAGGGGTATATCTTATTTGATATACGAAATGTAGTCCGCAAAGGTAGATCTCTTCGATATGCTTTCATTCACATCCTTTTAAAATTCACAATCGATAACGGAATTCGATATGTATCGATATCATATCAATATCAATAAAATATATATACAGTGTCGATCAATCTCTTTCTTAATCGATTTCTTGAATTTTGATTAGACTCTTTTCGTGTTGTTGGTAGTTATTTCGGTATCAGGCGTTTAACATGTGCCGAACGAGTGTCTGCAACTGAGGAAGCGGCAAGAGGCAGGCAAGAAATCTCTTTAATTTTTATTTTCTCTATTTGCTAATAATCTATGCCGTCGCTCCGCCGTTGGCCCCCCGCGCCGACTCAACCAGACCTTAGATAAGATTCATTCACGACACGAGCGACACAACCGAGAATCTAATGGCACACTGAACTTTCCTGCAAATCCCCTCCCTTCCCCGTGGGTGGTTTATTAGTAGAGATTATCGGTGTACCATTGGGGGGGAGCATTATTCACGATTTGCATGCGTGATTGGGAGAGGAAAGTGCTATTAATACGTTTCGATTTCTGGTTGAATGCGTAATGCCCTCCCTCCAGAAACACCGATAAGAACCCTCCTATGGGAAACATGGAACGTGACGTAGCTGGAACATTTAGATCCCGAACGGCGCAGGCACAGTGGAAAGTTTTGACTAAACTTCAAGTGTCTGGAATTTGGCAGCGAGATTTATGAAAAAGATAACCAATGCCCCCCCGAAAAAAAAAACAAATTTTGTTAGCTGTATGGCATCATAATCGTGACTTGAATAAAAACAGATATTATTGTGGGTTTCAAGGGGTAACAAAAAGTAGCCAAAAACCACAGATAAATCTTGTAGATAAACAACTATAAATAACTATAAACTCTATCAGTCATTTGGATTGATCTTTTCCTTCGTTCATCTCATACTTTCACTCAGTTCTGTTCTCCTTGCATAACTCTACCAAAATGCGTCACAAAAACCAATCTATTTTCAGATCAGAATATAATACATATTTCATAGCATAAATTCCAATAGCAAGTATTTGTCACGTGTTTTGACATTTTAGTTCGTTTATTTAATGCAGTTTTTCTCAAAGAGAAGGGAATGGGACACCCTGTTCTCCATTTATCCAGGAATCCCAGACTATAGAGTCTAGACTCTGCTCGCAGCTCAAAACAAATATTTGGACTTCCAATGAAGCGGCGAGAAAATAAAGCAAAGAAATCCAATATTGTACATATGGCAAACAAGTCTGCAGACTTTCAACCTGAGAATAGATCGGAGAACAGAGAGAGCAAGAAACACAGAGAGAGAGAGAGAGAGAGAGAGAGAGAGATACGTGAGGAAGAGGCCACTGTTGTTTCCATTGCGTTGGTGCAAAGTCCGAAAACGCGGCAGCCGCGTGTGGCCCACATCTACATCTCTACTTTGGGGGGATATCTGTATGCAGATATATACGTATGCGTAGCGCTCATCTATATATAATATATATTTATAATGTAAACAAGAACCGCAACAAGTTTCAATAACCCCGAAATAAATAAATAAATAACGAAAACATTGCGTGCGGTAGGTTAATGTTTTGGGCATGCCAAAGGGCCATTATTCAAGGATAATCATCAACGGTCCTAATGGGTGTCAGGCTCTAACCAATAGAAAAGCCATTAGCATTAGCCTCTGAATGCAAATCCCTGCCCGCCATAAATAGAACCGGTAGCTCCTTCCGCTATAAATTTTTGTATTTCAGCGATTTATGATCGAATTTAGGGCTGGCTTTCGGCTATCGTCCGGGAATTGCCACTATCTGACCCGACTGTTCTGCTTATCGGGGACTCGGCTCGGGGTACTTGAAGTGGTCGAGAGGTAACAATTTTATGGCGTCCCCATACTTTGTTTTATGGAAAAGCGAGAGGGGGGAATTCCACAAGGGATAGCGCCTCAATTAGCCAGAGAAAAAAAAGGTTGTTTAAAAATAGTAACAATTTGTTTTCATTATCGCCACTGGGTTTTGTTGTTGGTTTAATTATGGAATCTCTACCCCCTTCATCGCCTTGTGGTTTGCTTTTTATTGCGCTTTGGAATTACACGTTGAACTATTTTTTTTTTATCTAGAACTACTCGCACGTTGGGGCCCACACAGCTACGGGATGAATGTTAATATATAGACCTAAGTGAACTTGGGCACTGTGAGCTATTAAAAATCGGTGAATAAAGAAATTCCATTACTTTGTTGTCTTAAAATCCCGCAACGCACTGTAGAGAAAATGTTTGCTAGCTAATTTAACTTGAAACTCGGTCCAAAGATCTATCTGCCTCTGAAAAGTGATAATAATCCATCAATTAGCAATAACTTCTTATGTTTCACAGTTTCAGGGTTTCAGTGATGAAAAATACAAGATCTATGCGTTCCAATGATGTAATATAATAGCGTATTTCTTTCTTTTATTGATCTATGTACATATTTACTTTACGATTGACTGAAACTTAAGGCACATAGTTCATGTATCTGGTGTATAATTTTATCTAAAAAAACATATGGAGAATGACGATACCCTACTCTTGCTCCGATATTATATATCGCAGCTGTTTGCTATTTATGGCAGAAGGTGCGGGACCATACCCCTGCTCCATGTTCCCCCCGCTAATTAAAAGGCGAGGTGCAGTTGGCAGTCCATAAACAAGCAACGTCGCAATTTGCATTAGTTTCCAATGAAAGCTGCCTCCAGATGGGACTGACTGAAAGAGAAAGAGAGAGAGAGCACGTAGTCGTTGCACTTTTGGGGTAGGTTGCCTCCCGCCCCTCAGGTAGCCCCTACTTCCATGAGGTAAATACAGTTGTGTATGCGAGGCAAAAATTCAAAGTAAATTAAAGAGGGGAGTGGTTGTGGGGAGCCCTGGGTGCCTGTCTCAGTCAGGTACCTTGTTTCGAGGTCTGAGTGCTACCTGTTTGTATAAGAGACCTCGGGACTCGACTGTCTATCGGGGCTTATCAGGCAAACTATGGGTAATCCTAGCGATAGAGAATCAATCAAAATGTAACTTGAATTCTGGAATTTATCAACAATAAGTCTGCGGCCCGAAGCAACATTTTGTTATCGTAATTGTTGCCACGATCGCCCCAACCTACACCACCCCACCCACTCTCCCACTCTCTTTGAGGCTGCGACGCAATTGGAAAATCACTGAACCGGTAAGCCGCAACAACCTGCGGCGCCACCGAGAACCAACGCAATTCGTATCCAATTTCAATTAGGAATTAAATGGCATTAAAAATGTGCACTCAATACGAAGAAATTGGAATGTTGTGCATTCCCTTTCCTGATTATAATCTTAGAGAGAGCTTTTCTCTTACTTAACTGCAAGAGAGGGCTTAGGTTCACACTTTGCCTCCTACTTTCTATCTTCCCAGTCTCAAGTCTCCCGAGTCTATTGTTCTGCTCCAAATCCTTCTCAAATCCTTTGGAAGTGCTTGGGATAAGAGAAAATGACAATAAGACAAAGCACATGTTATCCTTTAAATTGAAGGGCAATTGACGGAAGAAAAGGCCCTCGGAGAGTGGCAATGTGTGGAAAACGAGGAAATGCGCTGCGCTGCTGATTACATAACTGTTATGTAAGAGAGTGGGAGAGAGCACACACACTCGAAAGCTGACGCCGAGAGCGCAGCAATGTGTAAATGTCAAAGGGCAGTGACGTAGACGGACGGGCAAAACTTTGACGCCCACACACAAGGGACAAAGATGAGAGGAGGAACTGTAGCCACGGTATATTTACGTGAAGGTAAGGCAGGCTCGCTCTCCTAGAACACTCCCTCCGTCTGCCGGACCACTCCTATTGAGTATGCTTTGCGTATAACTAAAATCCCAAGCAAAGGAAATGCAAACACAGAGGCAGTCATTAAATTTGATACCATCTCCATTAAGGAAGCAATTTGTGGTAGTTTGTTGGTTTATTTATTCTGGCATTACTTTTTGCAGCTAACTTTGTTGCCATGGGCCCACTGTAAAGAAATCACTGCCATGGTCCACGGCTCTTCCTTTATCTCCGAATATCTTGCCCTGCCGAGAATAGGCAGAGCAGAGCCCTAACCTTACACTGACCTTGAAGCGGAGCAAGAGCAGCTGTGGTCTGCAGTGGAGCACCAGAAGCAGGCTGCGTTGGGAGAGGGGTGTGGAAATAGCGAAACGAGATTCTAAATGAAGCACCAGGCCAGGCGGCAAACATACACATACACATACAAACACAGCAGAACGACAACGACAAGAGCGAGAAGTTTGCGGCAGGGCGGCAAAGCCACAGTGCCGGCCATTCAGATAAGTGCATTCTCATTTGAGTTTATGAATGGAAACACTATGAATTTTCAATTGATTTTCAATCAATACAGTTAACGTAATCAATCAATAGATCATAAATCTTAAGCATCGCCATGAACCGTTGCTAATTTTATGCACTCCACTGTTGGTTAGAGAGATTGTTCTTGGATGTGAGAGCATGCTTTTCGACTTCTTCCTGCTCTTGTGCTTCTGTTGCCTCTTCTTCCCACACTCCCGCTTCTGATGTATGTATACGTGTGAGAGGAGTATGTGGGCATGTAAAATGTATTGATTTTCGCAGAGCAACTCTCATCACTGCATCATCGGGGGCACGCAAAAGTTAGACACAAAACTGTTTTTTTCATTTACTTTTATCTGCAGATGAAACTGTTGTTTTTAACCTCTTTAACACTACACAGATTTGAGATCTTTGTGCCTTTTCACGCCACGAAAGAACTTGGAAAATTTTAAATTATGCTTTTAGCACTAAACTTCAACTTGGATTTTTGATGTACTTTTTCGCTGCGTTCACTTCAAAGACCCGAATATATTTGTGAGATACATTTGTGGGGCATACATTGGGGCGGCACCAGTGCTGCCGACTCTGCTCTTTTCCCGCAAAATCTGGCAAAAAGTATTTTATTTTCCCATGGTATATACTGGTATTTTTGAACAACTTCCTGGTATATAATTGTATTTTTCGACCTGGGCACTTTATTTGTTCGTGAGCAAATCGTTTTCAAAAGTTGCGGAGACTTTCCCCTCTTTTTCGTGGTGTGAGCCGCATGTTCCT